CGCCAAGACCAAGGCGGCGATCCTCCGGGCCGGCCTTGTGGGCCGCGAGAGCCTGGACGGCCTGCTGGGCCGGTCCCTGTTCGTCATCAGCACCGGCGGCAACGACTTCGGTGTCTTCGTCGACCCCGGCGGCGTCCCCCTGAGCCGGGCGCCGGAGTTCATGGCCGGCATGGTCGCCGATTACCTCAACTACATCAACGTACGTCGTACTTGCATCGTGTGTAGATCGCCGTTTACTAATCATCGTACATACGACTGGACATGGTAGGTACGTAGTTTCTAATGGTGGCATGCACGTGCAGGAACTATACAAGCTAGGAGCTCGGAGGCTGGTCCTGCTCGACGTCCTACCCGTCGGATGCCTGCCGAGCCAGCGACGGAGAGTGCGACGGCGACGGGAACTACCTGTCGGAGCTCTTCAACTCCCTCCTCCGGGTGGAGACGGCGAAAGCCGTCACCACCTCCGTGCCCGCGATGAGGTACTCCATCGCCAGCCTCTACAACGTGCTCACCGACATGATCGCCAACCCAACTCTCGCCGGTAAGCACCAACGTTTTATTTTAATTAATAAGGTTTTATTAGTGATCATAACACACTCAACTTAATTTTTCTGCATGCTAAGCGTTAGTTGGTTGGACTGATCTATCTATGGCTAGCAGGGCTGCGTGAGGTGAAGACGGCGTGCTGTGGCAGCGGCAGGTTCAACGGTGAGGTGGAGTGCTCGGTGGACACAAACCTGTGCGCCGACCGTGACGAGTACCTGTTCTGGGACACGGTGCACGGGACGCAGGCCGCCTACCGCCGGGCCGTCCGAGCCTTCTTCTACGGGACAACCAGAGAAGCGGAGCCCATCAACCTCCACCAGTTGCTCCAGGACGAGCAGTATTATTCCGCGGCGACGGCACGATACTCTTCCATTTAAAATGGCGTTAGTCTTTATAGAGAGACTGAGAGAGTGGCAAATGCTAGGCCCAATAAATCTTTCTTCCTTTTAAGAACACAGCAATTTCATTAACTCAAAACAGTATGTTCCAGTTTTATGTTTGGTTTGGAGGCTAGCTTTTGTAGAAGTGGGATGAGGCACTGGCTTGTGTGGCCTATGTATCAGCCTCTCGTATGTCTTCTTCTACCTCCCGCTCCTCATTGCTCCTCAATGCCGTCAGCCAAGCTTGACCCGCGCCGCCACGGGCCAAGCTCCGTCGAAGCCACGCAGCTCCGACATTGACCCGTGCTAGACCTGCACCTGGTCGAAGGAAGGAGAGGCAGAGAGAGGAGAAATCTAGCTTGTTCGCTTATTGGTTTCAGCCAGGGCTTATCAGGCAGCCAACAGTATTTTCCTCTCACAACCAACCAGCACCAGCCGGGCTTATCAGCCTAGAAACTAACCAGCAAACAGGCTGATCGCCGGAGGAAGAAGAAGTGCAAGGAGAGAGAGGGCAGCCAGAGGGAGGACAGGCAGCCACTTGGGAGTCGATCGGTCATAGGGAACAGCGGGCGGCGGCGGCACTAGCTTGGCCTGTGGTCCGCTCCCTTGCACCGCCTTGGAGTCAGACTCAAAGGAGATAGTGTGCGGCTTGATGTGGGTTGACCCTGTCCGCCCGACTTTGTGGTACCGAGGGAACCTAGAATATTCAATCCTGGGTTTGACCTAGATCTCCGAACCAAGCACTAAGTCTGGGCAAAATACCCGATACCCATTACCCGAACTCGAACCCGAATTACCTGAACCCAAAATAAATTTGGGTAGTTCGGATATTAACTTGAGATACCAACAATTAATTTGGGTAATTCGGGTAACAAGTTGTAGTTCCCGAATTACCCATACACCCGATATCGATATCTAAGTGAACGCCCATCAGCCTCCAACTTGTCCACCTCTTGCGGCCCAACAGGAAAGGAGACCCCAGCACGAGCGCCATCCCCCACCATGACTCTCCAAGAGACCTTGAGTCCTCGACCTCGATTTGATGGGATGGGAGTGAAAGGTCCTAATATGGCTAGAGGGGGTGAATAGCCTATTAAAAATGTACAAACCGATTAGAGCAATTTGATTAGTATAACAAATAACGAAAATGCAAACTTGCTCTAGCTCTACAAGGGTTGCAAGCCACCTATCCAACAATTCAAGTTGCTATGATCACTAGACACACAATTTGCTATGTTACTACTCACTAAGAGCTCTCACACTTGCTACACTAAAGAGCTCCACTAGATGAACTTAAAACAACAAAACAAGCTCTCAATTCTAATTACACTAAAGAGCTTGCTCCAACTAGTTTGCAAGAATATAAATAAGTGAGTAGGGTGATTATACCGCCGAGTAGAGGAGTGAACCAATCACATGATGAATATTAAATCAATCACCGGGAGAATACCAAAGAGCAAGAGACAACCAATTTTTCTCCTGAGGTTCACGTGCTTGCCGGCACGCTAGTCCCCGTTGTGTCGACCAACACTTGGTGGTTCGGCGGCTAAGAGGTGTTGCACGAACCTCGTCCACACAATTGGACACCGCAAGAACCTACCCACAAGTAAGGTAACTCAATGACATAAGCAATCCACTAGAGTTACCTTTTGACGCTCCACCGGGGAAGGTACATGACCCCTCACAATCACCACGATCGGAGCCGGAGACAATCACCAACCTCCGCTCAATGATCCTCGCTGCTCCAAACCGTCTAGGTGGCGGCAACCACCAAGAATAACAAGTGAATCCCACAGTGAAACACGAACACCAAGTGTCTCTAAATGCAATCACTCAAGCAATGCACTTGGATTCTCTTTCAATCTCACAAAGATGATGAATTAATGATGGAGATGAGTGGGAGGGCTTTTGCTAAGCGCACAAGGTTGCTATGTCAATACAAATGGTCAAGAGAGTGAGCTTGAGCCGTCTATGGGGATTAAATAGAAGCCCCCACGAAATAGAGTCGTTGGCTCCTCAGTCCACTGAAAAATAGGGCGACCGGACGCGGCGGTCAGATCGACCGGACGCTGGACCCCAGCGCCCGGTCGCGCGATGCATGCCACATGGCCCTAGCTTCAAACGCTGATTGCCCGATCTCAACGGTCATCAATACATTTAAGTTGTGACCGGACGCACTGCTCAAAGTGACCGGACGCAAGACCCTAGCGTCCGGTTGTTTCCAATAAGGGTCCATTCGTGAAAAATCACGACCGGACGCGTCGGTCATGCCCGGACGGGACGCACCGGTGTCCGGTCACTCAACGTCTCCTCATGCGCCGCCACATCAGCGGGACGGATGCACCCTCAAAGCATCCGGTCACTAAGTGACCTAGCGTCCGGTCGAAGACCGACGCTAGCGTCTTCAAGCTTCTACTGACCGGACGGTCCGGTCCAGTAGATGCCAGCGTCCGGTGCACTCTGTGAAGACTTGTCTTTTCTGTCTAGGGTGCCGGTGTCACCGTCGGACTGTCCGCACTCTACGAGTGGACACTCCGCCGATGGAGTTTCAAACCCTTGTTCCCAAGTGCTAAACACAATGTGTATCACCTTTGTGCATGTGTGTTAGCATATTTTCACAAAACATTTTTAAAGGTGTTAGCACTCCACTAGATCCTAAATGCATATGCAATGAGTTAGAGCATCTAGTGGCACTTTAATAACCGCATTTCGATACGAGTTTCATCCCTTTTAATAGTACGGCTATTGAACCTAAATGTGATTATACTAGCTAAGTGTCTTGATCACCGAAACAAAATGGCTCCTACCACTTATATATTTGCCTTGAGCCTTTTGTTTTTCTCTTTCTTCTTTTCAAGTGCAAGCACTTGATCATCACTATGGCATCACCATCATCATGTTATGATCTTCATTTGTTTCACCGCTTGGAATGTGCTACCTATCTCATGATCACTTTGATAAATTAGGTTAGCACTTAGGGTTTCATCAATTCACCAAAACCAAACTAGAGCTTTCAGGGAGGATGCGAAGTCGCGAAACCTAGCGTCGACTCCGACAGGCTACGGCGCGACTCTGGCCTCGAGCGGTGCCCTAGACTCCTCCACGAGATCTACAAGCTCTAGCGGTCCAGCCTGTGACGGCGACCTCCCAGGCGGTCACGGAGCTCGACCTACCAGCGACCTAGGCTGCAGGCTAGTAGCGTTGCTCCATAAGCAGCTGGGCGGCGCACGCATCTAGCCCTCCTTCCGCCACCGGCACCACCGCACCTGTAGATCGAGGGCCATGGAGGAGCGCACAGGTACACACAACTTCAGGAATTGTGGGTATATCAGGTATACCCGAACCCGAACCTGAATTATCGGGTACCCGAAATTACGTATAGTATTTTTTCAGAACTAATATCGGGTATCATTTTTCATTACCCGAATTTTGTATTACCCAAATTACTCGATCCGAAAAAATCGGGTAACCCGAACGCCTGGCTTACCAAGCACTCAAGAAACTAGGTCCAACCTACTCTAACGTAGTTGGTCCCTCTATCGAAACACAGGTATAGATTATTATTACATGGGTTGGATGAATTGGGTTACACCCATAGGTTCCATGATCATCTCTCTTCCCACACATCACTGTTGAAGTCATCAAACTCGCAGGACATGTCCTCGTCGATCGGTTTGCCCCACCATCACGCTCCTGCAATGCATAAACGTAGGCGTCTCGACAACCGAAATGTTGATACTACAAACAGGTAGATACTGTGTCAATTGTCAAATTGCTCTACGCAGTACCCACACAGGTCACCCTCGTGCCCCAACCAAGCCCCAAGAAATTCAACGGGGCAGCAGCCAGCCCTCCAACTCCAAGCCGGGTTCCCAAATCACAAAACTTCCCGGCTTAGCTCACCTAATACTCGGTCGGTGCCCCTCCACGTACTCCACCTCGAAACGACGCGCGGCGCGCACCCACTTCACCTCCGCTCTCTCCACTCCACACCACAGCCATATAACCGCACCGCCGGCCAGGATCGATCCAGCAGCAAGGCGCCGGCCAATCGAGGCGAAACGACGATCGACGATGCACCCGCTGGTGGAGGCGCTCGTGGGGGAGCGGCAGCACTGGGCGCCGGCGCTGCGGCACGCGGCGGCATGGGCGGGGGCGCTCGCGCTCGCCGTGTCCGTCGCGTCGTTCGCGCCGGAGGCGGCCTTCGTGTGGGCGCTCGCGGGAGGCGGCGGCGGCAGGGCGGCGTGCGCGGCCGGGGCGGTGCGCGTGCCGCTCGACGGCGGAGGGGACCACGTCTGCGTGCCGGCGCGGATGGCCGGGCGCTCCGGTATCGACCTGCTCGTGCCGCCGGCGTTCGCGGGGCTCGCTGTCGGCGCGTCCGCCTGCTTCGTCAGGGCGCTCGCCATCGGCCGCCGCCACGACGAGTACTAGACGTCCTTGGAGGCATGGTACCGATCGAGAGTACTAGCATGAAACGTGCACGTTCCTTTCTCTTTCCTGTAACTTGTACAGAACGCACCGGTTAATCACTTAATTGTAACCTGATACAAAATTATCGCGGATCAATACAACTTCTTGTGTCATTAGCAGTCATAACCAACATGTTTCATTTGTCGCGTCAAACCTATATTCCTAGCACTGCAAGTAACAAGTAGCTCATCGGCCATCTCATCTCACTTTGAGCAGTGCAAAGTTGGGTGACCTACTAAACTACTCCAAGCTCCACGTATGCTTTTCACCTATCACTTACAAGCACAGCGACTTCACCGAAACATATCTGCCGCCACAGCTTCGTTACCCTGCCAATCTCCTCCGCGACCTCGCGCATGGGGGGCCTCTTCTCGCCGGACATCTCCAGGCACCGCTTGGCGAGCGCGGCAACCATCCCGAGCAACTCGCCGCCGACCTCGCCCCTGATCCCCGCGTCCAGGAGCGCGTCGAGCCTGCCGTCCCTCACGGAGGAGAGGAAGTGCGCCGCGAGGCTGCGCTCCTCCTCCTCCACGGGCGCCGCCAGGGCCAGCGCCTTCCTGCGCGTGAGCAGCTCCAGGAGGACGACGCCGAAGCTGTACACGTCGCTCCGGTCCGTCAGCCGGCACGTCTGCATGTACTCCGGGTCAAGGTACCCGCACGTGCCCTGCACCAGCGTCACCAGGTGCGCCTCGTCGGACGGCGCCAGCACCGACGCGCCGAAGTCCGACACCTTGACGTTGTAGTTCTCGTCGAGCAGGATGTTGGCGGACTTGACGTCGCCGTGGATGATCGGCGGCGACGCCGTCGAGTGCAGGTACGCCAACGCCTCCGCGGCCTCGTGCGCGATCTTCAGCCGGATCGCGAACGACGGCGAGACGCAGGCACGGTCACCGCCGCCGCCGTGCCCGTGGAGGAGCTCGCACAGGGTGCCGTTGGGGATGAACTGGTACACCAGCATGGGCACCGCCACCTCCAGGCAGCAGCCGTAGAGCTTGACGATGTTGCGGTGGTTCACCTGCGACAGGATGAGCACCTCCTTGCCGAACTCCCGTCGCTGCCGCTCATCCTCGGCGACCCGGCACCGCTTGATCGCCACGGCCCTCCGTCCCTGAGGTCGCCCCGGTACACGGTGCCGTTGCCTCCCTTGCCCAGGACGTGCCGCTCGTCGAATCTGTCGGTCGCCTGCTCCAGCTCCTTCTCGGTGAAGAGCGTGAAGGGCGAAGAACCCTGCCCCTGCCGTGATTGCTTCATCTCCTCGAACAGGAGGAGACCGCCATGCTGCCGGAAGTATCTCTTCTTGATGGCGGCGAGCCGCTTCTTCTCTTGGACCGCGTAGGTGCAAGACAACACCACAGCTAGCACAACCACACCAACGCTGCTACCTGTAGTGTGGAAATATATGGTTACACACAAATGTAACACAACTAATCGCAAAAAAAAAAAAAAGACAAATGTAACACAACTGTATATATAAGCGGAATAGTTATTTTGGTCCCTTAAGAGTATCTTAGGTTCTCTTAGTCACGGCTTCACCGGCTCCTAAAAGCCGTTTGGAGCCATTTATGCCAAATAGGATAAAATCAAATTAAGCGGTTTCACCTAAGAGCCTCTTAAATTGTGCTTTCACAAAGAATATATATGGAGGATGGAGCCAAAATGGTGGTTTTACCCGGCTTCAACTTGTCCTAGTGAGCCCTACATGGATTCTATGAGAGCATATTTTAAGGAGCTCTACATGTGGAGTTGTTTGCCAAACGATTTACCAAAACGGCTCTAACTCTATCGATGGAGATGTTCATGGAGCTGAAGCAAAAAATAATTGCTTCACTGGTGAAGTGAAGCCATGCCAAACTTACTTTTACGCTTAAGGAGTTTTGTAAAACAACTCCCTACTTTAATATTTTAGCAAAAAATAAAAGAATCTCCTCCCATAGTTTGGTAAAAGAGTTTCCTGTAAATAAAAAGTTGCTAAATATCCTCGTCAACTCGTAAGTTTCCCGGGTCGAGAAGAACCACGTATCCACTCCTTATCTGACCTTTTTCTCGGGAGATCAGAGTAAATTGGACGCATGAGTAAATTAAGAAAATAAAGGGAGGTGAGAAAACGATAAGAGACAAAAAAAAACTATTAAAAGAGGTTTGGCTGGTTAGAAATAGTTTAGGGTTCTCAATGAAAAATTATATAAAGTTATTATAGGAGAGTATTGGAGAAAGACAAAAATTAATGTTGATATTTCTTCTGTTAACTTGCTAGATCTATTAGTTTAGCAAGTAAACTATATCAAACTGCTAAAGATGCTCTAACTATCATCCATGGTTTAATTTCATCCTTAAACTTTTAAATTAGCCATTTCAGTCCTCAATCGTTACTTTAGGCTCAATTTCAATCTAGGACTACCAAAGTAAATGTTTTAGTCCTCAAACTTTGCACTTTAGGATCAATTTCATCGATGAACTATCAAGCAAGTACGTGCATTTCATTCTTGTCCCTGAACTTTCATAGTTCATAGAAGAAATTGAGCCCAAAATGCAGAGTTTGAGCACTGAAACAATCACTTTAGTAATTTAAGGATGAAACTAAACCTAAAAGTAAAGTTTGAGGACTGAAATGGTAATTTTGAAAGTTCAAGAGTCAAATTAAACCTCTGATGATAGTTGAGGGACTAAAATGACTATCTTGCCATATATATGTTAGCACACAAACTCAAGGATTGTTCGGTCAGTTTCTGATCTGAGGGAATAATTGGATTCAAGACTAACCAAACAAACTCTAAGGAAGAAGTTATTACTTAGGCTGAAAACGAAGGTTTGTTCTGTCGATGAAACGGAGCATATCTAAGAAATCTATAAGTTTATGTGAGTACATTATTAACATACAAAGAAATTTACTCCCTCCAGTTTCCTAAAAGATATCGTTTTGGATAAGGCTTGGGTTGGAAATATAAATCATGAATAACTTTTTAAATTATTGAGTTTGAAATATGAAAACCATATGAATAGATTTGTCTTGAAATACACTTCCAAAAAATATACATATATAACTTTTCAATAAATATTTTTATAAAAATAAAAAGTCAAAGTTATGCTTTGAAAACCGTGTCAATGTCCAAAACGATATCTTTTAGGAACATGAGGAAGTACATTTTAATCCGTAGAACTTTCATCGAAAACAGTGTCTGTGGCGTCCTAGTGCCTGATACACGAAGAGGTAGAAAAATGAAAAGGAATGAAGATTGCATACCGATTGCAGGCATGGAGTAATCTATCTCGCATCCACCACTACCGTCAGCTTTTGGTCGCCTGCCACGAGGGCACGAGCATTTGTGGCCTCCTCCCCTGTTGACACATTTAGCAGAGGCAGGGCATGGATTCATCTCCTTGCACGTGTCAATAACTGCAGGACGGATCATTCTTGTGAGACATCTGGCATCACATAAACTTCTAAGGGGTTGTTTGGAACGCGGAAAATTATTCGTGTTTCTGTGTTTTTTCAGTGAAATCTTACTAATTCCTGTAATATCTTACATGATTCCTATGAATTTTTTGCGTTCCAAACGAGCTCTAAAATATGCAGAATATCTCAAGAAGCTTACTATAATTACAAAATAAGCCACCAACTTAATATTTTATCAAAAATATATAATTATATGACCTATTTCGACTACATATCAAATTCTTGGATTCAATCAAAATGGCCAAATTTCAACAAAGTTCACTCATCTCAATGAGGCCCGAACAACATACCTGTAAAAAATTTTGGCCAAATTTGAACTTTAAGTCTAGTCCAGAGTTTAAACAAATCCACAAGTTCGTCCTTTAATATGAAAGTGCAAACTTATCAAGCTATAATAATCTATGTGCCACTTGATCAAATTTTAGCTAATTAATCTGAACATTTTGACTAGTCAAAACAAGTGAATCCTAGTTCAAAATTATCGAGATATCTAAGATTCACCTATTTCGGTTAGGTCCTAATTTTTTTTCATTTGAATCTTAGACCCAGTATATGTGGAATGTCTAGACTTATTACAAAGGATCGCTATATATCACACAAGCATCTCATACAAGCCTAGGAGCATTTAACCAGTTATTGTTGTAGCAACGACGAAACTATTAAATTAAATATATAACAATAACAACAACAACAATAATAATAATTAATAATAGCAACAACAACAATAACAAGATGACGACGACGAGCGGGAGGAGGAGGAAGAGAGAGAACTCACATTCGCAGCCATTCTTGCGGTAAGGGTTTCCTCGGTACCCAGTTTTGCACTTGCATACATACCCTGGGCCGTTGGTGGAGTTGACACACTCGTGGTTGTCGCTGAGGCAGGCATAGGTCGCGTTGTCTTTCTGTGCCACCAGGCAACTCTTGTTGCCCACTGCCCAGTCGAGCACCAGCGGCAATCGCTTACCAGCAGCACCGGCAAGCTCCCTATTGGTGACGTAGGACGTCCGGAACTTGAACTTTCCCTCTCCACCAGAAAGGCGTATCTGCACGGGCTGCCGCCGGAGCCGGAGCCGTCTGGTCTGTCCTCACCGTCGGCGACGAAGCTAGGGACAAAGGACCTTATCCCCGCTGGATCGTCGTCTGGCAGCAGCCGTCCGTGCCGTCGCAGGAGGCGGCGCCGCCGCCACCGGCAGCCATCGACGACGACGGCCGCACTGGTCCGTGCGGGCACGAGGAATTGCACCCCACCACGTAGCGGTTCTCGACGCCGCGGTCCTGCGTGCCGATGTAGGCCAGCACGCCGCAGCCGACGACGGTGAGCACGTTCTCCGTGCTGGAGACGCGGAACCTCGCCGACTCGTACACCCAGCTGTTGTCGTCGACCGTGGACGGCGACGTGGCGTTGCGGCACCACGAGCTCACCCTGGTGTAGGCTCGCATCCTCCCGCCGGCCACGTCGATGTCGAGCACCTGCAGGCCGCCGTCGACCATGGGGATGGGCTCTGGGTGCATTGCGCCTTCGGCGTCGCGGTTGCTGCAGGTGACGTTGAATGGCTCGTCGCCGCCGCCGTCGCCGGCCGTCTCGAGGTAGCAGCCACGGCCGATGCCGAAGGGGTACGGGATCTTCACGCTGCCGCACTCCTCCCTGCACTTCCCCGCGGCGGCCACCAGCGGCTGCCGTGGCGAGAGGAGTGCGGCGATGAGCAGGGCAAGCAGCATTGCCGGCATCTCGCTCTTCATGCCCGTGGCTAGGACTTGGACTTATGCTCGTGGGCTCGTGGGCTCGTGGCAATTGTTCTGCTATCCGTACTTCCGTAGTGGTGAGATATATAGATGGCGGGAAAGATTCTTATGCGCCACTACAAATAATATATATGACGTTTCATGCATGATGCAGGCAAATTTTACTCATGTTGAAATTCCTCGCTATATTGAAGTTGTTTGATTGTGTCATCTCAGTCCCTAAACTCGCAAATCGCCTATTTAGATGCTCAAACTTATTTATCTATGTCATCTTGGTTCCTAAACTCATAAAAATTGCCCGTTTAGATTTTCGAACTTGTTCAGTTGTGACATCCTCATCCCTAAACATGTAAATCACTCATTTAGGTTAGCTGTGTCATCACGGTCCCTATAAGTTGCAAATTGCCCATTTAGATCGTCAATCTATGTGCGGATCTTAGAGCCAAACTAAACGGGTCTAGACTCGTGTCTGTACGCTGATGTGGTATGCTAACATGTGGGGTCTACATGTCAGCTCCATCTCCCTTCTCCATCCTTTCTATACCTTGAGCTCCCTCTCTTTTCTGGTAAGCTCACATCTCGAAACCAACACGGCTTGGGAGACATAGCTAGGGCTGGTAGCGACACAGCTAGGGTCGGCACGACAGGAGGCTTGGGGGTGGTAACCATGGAACTTGTGGAGATGTCCTTGCATACGGGCACAGATCTAGATCTGTTTAGACTGGCTCTAAGACCCGAACATAGATTGAGGATCTGAACGGGCAATTTATGAGATTAGAGACTGGACGATACAACTGAAAGTTCAAAGATGAAAACAGGTACAAGTTTAGGGACTGGGATGACACAATCATACCAGTTTGAAGACATAAACGTGCGATTTGCGAGTTTAGCGACTGCAATGACACACATGAACAAATTTGGGGGCCTAGGCGAAGGATTTGCAAGTTTATAGGCCAGGATGACATAATCGAACAAGTTTGAGGGCCGCCAGCGGACTTTACTCATTGATTAATTGGGTAAAGCTAGCGATGATGGTAGTTAAGGAATGGAGCTTTCGACAATAGCTAATTCACCATGTGCCAAGCGAGGTGGGTTGTTAGGACGCGTCGCGTATGTATGTTCGTTGAAGGGGGGATTAGTTTCAAACTCATGATTGCATCCACCGAAAGCTTCAAAAGCTAGCTGCCTTATACATGCATGTAGTAATGTTCATACTTCTTTCCTGGCCAACTAAAGCTAAAGCTAGATTGAGCAGCAAGCAATGGACCGGCCGGCCATGGTGGAGGAAATATATATTGTTGGTACAAAACTATATAAACTATGCATTTTGTTTGAGGCACGGCGACACGAGGGCCACTTAAGTACTTAACTATGCAGCAGATTATAAAAAGACTGGCCATTGTCGATTGTTCATACACCTCGTGTACGTGTCTGAATAATTCTGAGTGGGCATAAAGTGGAGCTCACGCGCGCTGTTTCCGTGAAACCAAACTAAAGTTGGCAAAGTGGATGCATGCATGCTTGTTTTTTTCGTTTGGATAAGCCAGGATTAAGTTGGATTGGGGCAGAAAAAACCCGTCAACGTAACTAGGGGAGTAGACCCAAAAATTCATTCCTCCAGGAAGCATATAACATGTCAACTTTCTGTACCTACCACATAGAACGTAATTTATTACAAAAAACTGAAATTATTTACTTTAGACAGACTAAGGTCACATAATTTGTGATCGGACAGGAGGCGTTAACTTGCATACATATGAGTAGGGATGAAAACGGATCGGATACGAACGGATATCATTGATATTATATTTGTTTTCACATTTCTAGTCGGATTCGGATTCGAATACGGATAGTATCAGCTATGTCAGATATGATACGATTAGATATCGACATCATAAATATACGATTTGAGTATTCGGATACGGATACGGTATCGGATGTTGAATATCCGGACTCGGATACGGACAGATCTGAACCCCTCTAAACGGATTCGGACTCGAATGCAGTCGGAAAATATCCGTATCGTTTTCATCCATACATATGAGCGTACTTCAGAATGCCGTGTATGCAACGGCTATCAGAAATATACCTGATGTACCAGACAGGACAGCAGATCAACGGCGTAGCAGAAAACGTCAAATCTGCTGCATTCACAGTTTAATAATAACGAGTGTGTGTATTCTCTGAAAATGCTAACAGCAAAAGCACATCAGCTGCGTTAGAGGACCAATATCTTACAAAAATTAGCTTTCGCCAAAACACAGAGGTAGCTCAGTGCACGCATTACTTTCACACGTCCAGCAAAAAAAAAAAAAACAGGAATAGCACGAGAAAGTTCCAATTAGCAATAACATAAGCTCAATTTTAAGCCTCAAACTCCTATTTGCTGAGGAAAATGACGACCGGGTCACCAGGGGAGGGGGTTTTCTTCTCCAGCAACAAAACATGCTCAGCAGCCTCAGTGCGAGCGGCTTCATCAGATGGTAACAGCACCTCGACTTGCTCAAGCCCCAGCTGCCTCTTGATCAGCTCCAAGTTCACACGAGAACATCCATCTCACCAAACAGAAGCTTCAAATCCAGTGCCTGAGGACCAACCTCCCTTGCTTCGTCCTTCTTCAAATTGATGATGGGCATACAGAGCTTCTGAACTTGCTTCAAGTTTCATTTCCTGCCCAATGGCACAATTCATCAGAGCTTCTGTTATTCCCTGGTCAGGAGCGCGTTTGGCTGTCGAATTTAGACTGCAGCACCCTCAAGCACTGATCTTTCCAGCCACAGTAATACTCGTTGACATATATATAAGGCCAATGCTTCTTTTTTCCCCCTGATGGAGGTGCAGGCACAGCTCCCTTCTTAGGCTTCTTGGAACCAGACTCTTGATTCTGAAGCAGCTTCCTCATCAAAACTATGGTATCCTGCAAGCATTTGTTTGGAATTCGCAGAGTAGGATCCGGGGTGTCTGCGACTGGCCAGCCAGCTTTTATTACAAAGCCTTCTTTCTTCATAATCTTTCTCCACATGTACTCAGCAGCATAGTGTGGGCAAATGGGGGTGATGAGCCTGGTCTGGACATCCATAAACCGCCACAACAGATCATGGTTCATGCCTGCTACGCCACACGAGAGCCTGTAATCTCTAGCCAATTGGAGGTCATAAAACCCAGATTTCAGGGCGTCCCTGAACATGAAAGCATTGTAGCTCTTCTCAGTTTCTTTGATTGCAATGCCCATCTCATTTGCAAACACATGGTCAGCATATGTAGTGGGCGGTCCAGTTCTCAATTCAGATTCAGCAGCTGTAACCTCTTCAATCCATGAAATTTCTTTTGTCAGCCTCATAACAGCAGAATTTGCAGTTTCAGTGACAAAGTTTGCATCATCCATACCATCACGGCGAGGCAAATCTTGAACTGTTGTGTGATTGTATATGCAGAATGTCAGATGGTTTTGAATAAGGTCCTTCCCAGACACCTGAATATCAAATGGATACCAATACTGAAATTCTTGCTTCATTTTGCTCAACAGAGCTGGAGGGATGTCACTTTTTGGTGCTGGGCCATCACAAAACACAAAATCCCAGACATCATCTGTAACTTCTTCTGGCCTTATTGAAGACATTTTTTCCCTCCCATGTTGCCATTTTGCAAAAAGATGCACAACTGTGTAATAAGCCATGTATAGGGTTGAATAAGAAAGAGAGTCTACAAGGAAACAGCTCATCCCATGGAATTCGAGTACAGGCCAAAAGAACGTGAACATGCCCACTGGTTCAGCCAGCCCAATGTGTGCTCCAAACCATTTCGGGTTTCAGCTGAGAATGTATTCATGTTGTCTAAACACCTGACTGCTTCATGCTTCCATTCAGCCTCACCGTAAGTTATGTACCACTGATCAGTGAGGGCAACAACACACTTATCACAAGATCTAGACATGACCTTCTCTGGCTCACTATACAACACGGCTATGCCTTCATCGAAAAGCTTATTTTAATCAGGGGTTTCACTTCTTGAACCTTTCTATCACTGAACTCACCTACAATCATTGTTCCATCAGTACATCCCTTCAGATATGTCATTCATTGGTACAATCTCATATGGAATGTGGATTATTGGTACAATCTCATATGGAAGAACCCACTTGTATTTCACGCCATATTTTGCCCTCAAACCTGGCTTTGTGACTAAATCTTGAAGTGCCATGAAATCATTAGGTGAATCACTTGGAACACTAGTCACAATGCAAGTACCTTGTCAAGACAATGAGAATTGGAAGAGTATATATGGCTTCATTGAAGACAAGAGGAGATTTTAGTGGCAAACCAATCAAATCATAGCCAGATAGCTCACACAAGCTGATTGGTAAGAAAGATTAAGAGCAGCCCTTGCTCCCACTGATACTTATGTGCGCCAGCCTTTGCAGCAGTTGTGCTCTTAAATTTATCTGGCACAACAGCATCAGCCTGGACAGCATCTGCCACTGCGGCACCAGAACCCTCCTGCCGTTCTGCGCCACTACCAGGAGATTTCCAAATTGTTGGATCTCCCTGGCAAGCTTAGCAGCTGAGGCCTTGATGGGCATTCCAGTGCAGTGGAAAGCAAAGGGCAAAATGGCATTGGAGCCACGGAGCCTGTGGTATGCAGCACCGAACTCAAGCTTGGACAACAAGAAGGCATGGCCGAGATGCAGCAAGCCATTCATGTAAGGGTATGGAAAGTTCCAGAAGAAATTTTCTCTGGGACCTGGAGGCTCACTTCCAGCATCAGCCTCAAAAACATTGTTTTCATCCCAGGACTTCTGAACCTCAAATTCATTGTTCAGTAAACAGTCTGTCCAAGCACGACTCTTAGGTTCGTCTGGATTCGACGACATTCTCCTAGAAAACCAAGAAAAAAAAGGATGTCAACTGACAAGGGTCTCATTTTGATTCTTTGAACTCAACAAAATACATATCTGAAGTGTAAAAGAGAGGAGAGCTGAGAGACACGTGAAACATACAGAAACCAACATTTATTTTTGAATGAAGCATAGCACCTAAACCTGCTAATGGGCCAAAATCTGGACCACACCCACACCAAACCATTACATCAAAGACCAGCTAGCCAACCCAATCCACCCCGCTGGCCCACCTCTTTATACCAAACCAATCCAAACCTTCCCTTGGGCCCAAACCAAACGAACACATTCTCCTCTAAGCAGTCTCAAGCCATTTCAAAACCTTGGGATCTAACCTTGGTTTCAATGCTCGTGCTGTTACCTTGGTTTCTATGCCCCTGTTCCTCGCTAGTTGTTAGTGAGTAGGTCTGTCCTCTCTTTGCTATGTAGCATTTTTAACATAAGGAAAGTTTAGCAAATCATAAAATGAACAAAAAATTGAAAGGACCAGAAGAATTACAGAACTTAAAACCATAAAATAATTTAGTTTATGAACTAGACTAGGCATTTAACAAAAGAGAAAAATCACATATTGTTTAGACTCCATATTACAGAAATTTTAAGTCTTCACGATATTTAGCCTTTATTATACAAAAATTTTAAGTATTTCACCACCGTTTTTTATTAAAAAAAATACTTCATCTTCCATCTCTTAATCTCCATGATCACGAAACATGCTAGGATGGAAACAACAAATGTTGAAAACACAAACATACAACTGCCACATTTGGCCATTGCATTTTTTTTTTCAGTTGGTTGCATGTAGTTCTAAGAGGTAGTTTGTCAGCTATTTCTTTTATAACTAAACTACAGGAAATCTAAGTCTCTGTTGACTGTTAATAAATTACCAAATTACACGGTGCCCATCACAAATCTTTTACAAGATCCATTGCCAAATTTCGCATAGCCACAGTTCTAACAAGTCAGTGCCAGAGGTCAAGCTTCACTGCTTAAACCAATCAATCTAAAAAAGGATTCTAGAAAGCATATGATTGAACTTTTTCCAGAGCGGTAAAACCAAAGAGTTTGAAAGGGTTAACACACACACACACACACACACACATCAGTCCAGTCCACATGCATGCAACTGAGAATGCAAGGACTAATTGACTGCCTGATTTGATCAGGCGGCAGAAAAAAAAACACAGCTCATTAGCATGCCCCTAACCCTGGTAATCCAACTATTGAAACCACAAGAGCTATATATTCCAGGTAAAGAGAAGAAGTGGATCAATGACAGGGTCTGAGCCATGTGAATGTGTAAGGAAGAAACGAACTAAAGTAGTGTGCACTTGACATGCATGTGGAGCGGTTCATTTCTCTGGTTCAAACGCATCACTTTGATCCCATGCAGAAAAACCCGGTGCCACCATGATGTGCACTTGACAGAGGCTAAGGAGTTTCTTTGCTGAAAGGAGAAAAAGGTCTAATATGTCCTATTAACATTTCTTTTATTAAAGCTAAGGGCCTGTTTGGATACCAAGGGCTAATTGTTAGCTATCTAAAAATTAGCCCTTGCCCATCCAAACAGGAGGCTAATAGTTGGGCTAATTTTTTAGCCAACTCCAGCTAATTTGGGCTAATTTTTAGCCCCAACTAGTAACTAGCCCTAGCTGATCCAAACAGGTCCTAATGAATATCATGAAGCAGCAGCAACAATGCTGTAACAGCAACAGCTGCTGGACTTCTAAACAGCCTTGCAGTTGGGCATTACTCAGTCTATAACTCTACATCATAAAGACATGTATGTAGTGTAATCTATTAGTGACACAAGCAGCACCAGGATTGGTGCAATGCAAACAAAGCTTGAATCTTTAAGAATCTGGAAAACTTCGAAATGCTACCATGCACACGTAAATCATCACTTGCAAAGTTTTCCAACACTGGGCATTTGAGAAGGCAATCAACATACCTGCTACTGCTAGCCCTCTTCGGGTTCTAGATCTTGACCTAAAAAATAAAATTTTGTTTAAAGACCTTTGTTTACCAGAAATGAAAAAACAGAACATTTGTTTAAAGAAAAACCTTTGTACCTTCACTAGTGCGATCTTTGGTCTTGAATAGCCAATCTTTCCCACAAACAAGTGCCTCGAGCATTTCCGGCGTTAGTGAGCTTCTATGGTCTCCAAGAATTCTTCCTCCAAGACTAAAAGCAGATTCGGACGAAACAGTGCTAAGGGGAATAGAAAGAAAGTCTCGAACCATAGTTGACAGTACAGGAAATTTGTCTGATTTTCCCTTCCACCAAGCTAGGATATCAAAATCCTCATTATCCTCCTCGATCTCTTCTTCTAAATATGCATCAATTTCAAATTTCGGTGCCCGTGCAACTCTTCGTCGTGATTTGTATTGAGCAAATTCTTCTTCAAGATTTCTTTTTCCAAGAATCAGTGACCCCTCATTAACAAAGGCTTCATTAGCAAGCGCCATCATATCCACACTACTTTTCCTTGCACATCGTTGCTCATACAATGTGAAGTACTTTCTCATCCACTCTAAGGCATGCTTCACATGCATATCAATCTGATTTGTATTATTGCACACCTTCTGAAAGAAGAAATCTAAGTAGTCAGCCTTCCTTCTTGGATCTAATATAGTGGCAATGACTAAGACAAGGTTAAATGCAATCTCTTTCTTCTTTTCTTTTTTTAACTACATTGTGCAGGTTATCTTCATCAGGATTCCAATATTTCTCAAACTTGGAATGCATGGAAGCAGCCAACTCCTTGAGCAGATCGGTACTTTGCCAAGCTGGGTCCTTCAAGGCATAGAGGATGGAAAGCACTAAGGGCAAAAACTTATGTGATGTAGGCTTCCTATGAGCTGACACAGCGAGTGTAAGTTCTTCAAATACCTTGAGAAATTCACAAATTGCTGCTGCCTTTGCCCACTCTTCCTCAGTAGGTAAAACTTCAAGATATCTAGGAGCATAGGAAATAAGGACAGCTTTGTATTTTAATGATTCCCTAAGCATTTTGAAGGTTGAGTTCCATCGGTTTGGGATGTCAAGGTAGATAGCGGACTTTGAGGCTAAACCCATCCCATTTGCAAGCGAATTGAACGCTTGAAGTCTTGAGACAGAAGAATCAATATGCTTCAGCAGCTCACGGATCTTTTGTATTGTTGTATGGATCACTGTCATCCCATCCTGAACCAAGATGTTGAGAATATGAGCAGAACATCTAACATGTAGATGTTCACCATCAAACAATAACTCATGTTTATGATTTGTTATCAACTTCTCACATGCCGAAGTGTTATTGCTTGCATTATCTAATGTCAAAGTAAACAATTTATCCATTATATCCCATTCTGTCAGGCACCTCACTACTTCTTCAATTGCAATGCCGGAGTGAGGATACTCTAGTTTTTTAAACCAAATGATCTTTTTCTTGATCTTAAATTCTGCATCAATGTAGTGAGCTGTTACAGCCATGTATTCTACGTTCTGCGATGATGTCCATATATCTGATGTCAAGCAAACACGAGAATCCAAATTCTGAAGTTCAGTATAAAGCTCTTTCTTTAGCTCCTCAAATTTCTGGAAGGAATCATTGTGGATTGTTTGTTGTGGTTGACCCTTGACTATGAAAGTTGGTTGCATTGTGTTAATCCATGGCTGCAAGTACGGGTCTTCGAATTCCAGAAATGGAATCTCAGCATGAATTAAATACTTGATCATCTCTTGACGACAGAGGTGGGGATCAAAGACAAAATTTGCATCTAATGGTTGTTTGCTCATGCTTGCTTGAAATCTCTTTCTGGTATCACTCTCAATTGATGGGCAAGAATTGGCAACATGGCCTCTAAGACTACTAGTACCAAACTTGGTACTCAATTTCAGTTGACAGTACTTGCAAACAGCTTTTAGCTCACCATCCACATCAACCAAGGCTTTCTCAAAATGTTCCCAGACATTGGACCGTTTACGACGTGGTGTCAAAGATGTTTGACCCTCTTCACTATCATGAGTTCCTGAACCCTCTGATGTATTGGTCGACATTTCACCTGAAAAAGGTATGAGAATTTATAATTATTTAAGCTCTGAAGTAACCAGACTTAAGATTAACTAGCAATCTAATTCAAAATTTGCATAACTAAAAAGGTAGCTAGCTAGCAGTGACAAGTGACTCAATAAATAGCAGCCTGTTCGGGAGGCCGTATCGTATCGTGGATTATTTACTGCTGGCTGGTTTGGTGTGAGAGAAAAACACTGTTCCTGGTTGGAAATTTACGATCGTTTACGAGCAAGCGAACAGGGCGTAGATTGCTAAAGCAGTAAGTAGCATGGTAAGCAGCTAGTACTAAGTACTAACAAGCAATATAACACTAAGTAAAGCTGTAAGAAAGCAACCTAATGTGATATCAGTAGTACCAAATTTTTGATAGACAAATTATACAGCTAGTAGTGATAACCAATTTACCACACACAAACAGTTCACAGAATGTTTTCTCCAATCCCAACACAATGTTTTCTCAGACCCTTTCCCCTCTCTTCGCTGTTGTACATACACAACACAATTTGATTGCAGCCACAAAATGAAAGAACTTCCACGTAGTGCAAGAACATAAGCATGGAAAAATTCAGTTGCTATGATTGCTGTCAAATCAAAGTGGTACCCTGACTAAGATACTTATGGTCCTGACTCCTGAATCAGAACAGTCTCTCAAATTGGACCAACATTGCAAATTCTACACCAAAGGGATCCCAGCTCCAGAGCCTTAATCACAGCATCGCAAGTTCTATATCAGTAGCCACAATACTCATCAAAGGTTGACTAACCATGTAACCTTTATCATAACAATTTATGAAAAGTTCATTTATGCAGCAAATAAAGGAACATACAAAAGGGTGGCACTTGTCAAGAACCATTTTACCAGGTCTGATGTAACTAAAGAATGCACCACTTAGTGCAGTAAAGAGTTTCCAGCTCCAGAGCCTCCTAGCCTGCAGCAGCTTAATTCCCGACCTGCATCCAGTTCAGCAGCAGACTAAAAGTGAGGGGAATATCTGATTTGTCGTCTATGGCGAACACTCTTCCCTTGTAGTTCAGAATCCTTGTGAGTTCACCTATTGCAAGTGTGCAGGAATGCAAAATGGAGTCAAGCTGTGTATTCATATGCATGCACCGATAACCATGAGATGAGAAGTTTGGATGCTCACTTGAAAGATCTGGCTTCAAGTCAGTGGTGAGCTGGACGGGGATCAGACGGTCCTTGCTGTCCCGAGGGCAAAGGACAGCATGTGAATCGTCCAAATTAGCAACTATCAAGTAATCACCCTGTGCATAAGGACAATAGGGCAACAGAATATCTTGTTCGTTTGGCTGTGGCTTGTTCGTTTGGCTGTGGCTTGTCGTAAACGATCGTAAATTTCCATCCGGAACAGTATTTTTCTCTCACACAAACCAGCCAGCAGTACTTCTTCACGAACCAGCAACGAAACGAACCAGCCAACCGAACAGGCCGGTTCAAAAAATATCTTGTTTTAACGGTTAAGGTCTCATTTTCAGTACCTGTATTCAATATTAGGCAGTGGTTGTACAAGTAAATCAGTAATAAAGTAACATCAGTTGCATCAGTACCTGCCTAACAACAGCGACTGCAGCTGTGCCGCTACAAATGCAGATACAAGGAGTACGCCTTGCGTCGCCGTTGTACGTGCCGGCAGATCCGTGGACGCTGCTGCGACGCGCCGAAGCGAGCGAGGCCCCTGGCGATGGTTATGTTTGTGGGCTTCGAATTCCTAAATCAAGGGCACGCCACATGTTAATCAATTCCACCCAAAACTACAATCACAATGGTCATGCTGCAACTGCACCAACTGACTGCAAATTCTATACAAAGAGCTGACGAAACATACTTGTGGCACGGGATTCAACGCCAGAGCTCTTGGCCCCGAGGAGGTCTGAGGTCGGGGTGCGGAGCGTACCCTTGGGCGGCGGAACACCCCACCGGAAGCAGCAGCCGCGACGGCGCAGGGGGCGGTAGGGTTTCGGGCCTCCTCCTGGGTGCGGTAGAGCTGGAGGTCGAGGATGGAGGCGGTGTCGACGCCCTCGATGGCTACGTGAGTGGGCTTCAGCCCATTAGCCAAAAACGGGTTTGAGCCAAAGGGTTGAAACCATTATGCACCCAAAACTTATCCAGACCATTTTGACTTCAAAACCAAACCGTTGGCGGAAGCCGGCCCATTATCACTAAACCAGAGCCTAGCCATGACAAGACCACACCGTCAAAACCAACCCGGTTGCACACCGAACCATTAGACCTTCCGCAGTGTGTTACGAGAGTGATGCCAAAAGTGTAGAGAGAGAGTGTTTGGGCATCACTCCCAACACTGCAGGTAGTGATAGCTTATTGGGAGTGAAGCCTGAAAAGTATAGAGCGATGCATCTATATTCACCGGTGTCTAAATTATAAAATATATTAATTCACTATAGCAAAAAGGTGACAGTTGGTCAGAACGGTTACATTTCATCCCATTTCATACGATTGAGACCGTTGGGCACACAGATCTTCAAACTACACATGACCGTTGGCAAAGGTCTATATGGGTCTGTTTGGTTACCTGGCTTCCTTCTAGCCTGGCTAGGAAATAAATCAGGCTAGCCTAAGGCTGTCTCCAGTAAGCTAAGATGGACTTGTTTGGTTGTTTACACAATCTAAGCCTAGCTAGCATCTAGGTTGTTTGGTTGGCTGGTTTGGCTTGGATAGAGTCACTTCTTTATGCAGATAACTTCACCACCTTTGAAGCAATTCGTCGAACACGTGGTGAGCGTCACTTCTCTACAAATCGGAGCTAGGGAGATGGCCGGCGTGGCAAATCCACCAAAGCAAAAGATGAACCATCAAGTAACAATGACAGTAGAAAGGTAATAGTTTAATACAAGTTGCAATCTTGCCGCTTATGATCTAGTACTACTGCTAGCCTCTTATCGCCCTCTCGCACATGAGGAGATGGGTCGATGGCTGTTGACGGTAGTTAACAAACATTATAAACCGTCAATATAACTTGTATAAGGGTATGAAAATAATCGCCAACAAATATTTAGGGGTTTAAACTAACAAATTCTACGAGTTTTGGTGAATCTATATTTTCTGCAGGGTTTATCCAGAAAACCATCAAGATAGACGTAGATGTCAGACTTAATCGCGATTATCTGCAGGACAAACAACTCTAGAAGGTTCCAAAGGACACCACACCGAAGCGGAGGGTGAGAGACCGCTAGGTGGGGCCGGCTAGTCCCACCCTTAGGCCGACAGATCAGGGACCCCACCTGTCAGCCTCCCCCTTGCTATGTCAGTTCTCCACCACCTTAAGGATTGCATCTACGCCGTTTATTTAAGTCAGCTTGATCCGAGGGCTCATGATTGACGCTACGGCCTATATATACCATCCCTTACCACCCCTAAGGCAATAAGTCGTTTGAGAAGACAGAAACCCTAATCATCCTTAGAGCTCCATCATATTCTAGGGCATAGCTAGTTAGGCTAGGTTTAGAGGAAGGCAAGCAAGTTTCGCTCGGATTCCTGATCGTGTCAAGAGCGTGGTTTGGTATAATCTTTGTACCTCCTCTCTTTTGTATCTCTTTATTACTTTTATATGTTTGCTACAATTATTATGCCATTATTATTCATATCGTTTATGTTCCTAGTTATCATGTTCATCGTCTACTTTGATTATATGTTTAGCATAGCTAGATTATCGTCATGTTCAAGCATAAGTTCGTATAGCGCTCGCTCTAAAATACACAGGGTGAGTGGTCGACATTGTGTAAGCATGGTGCTTATAGGTTGTTTGCCTGCGGATACACCTTATATTCTGGGTCATATGGTTGATCACGGATGTGACACTCCCGTTAAGTCCTTTGTAGTCCACTCCCCGAATATAGGTCTACAAGTAGAATCTAGTTACGAAGGAAGACAAGCTCTGTTCTTAATCTTCCTTAATAATATCCCTTATGTGTAGATATGAAGTTGATCTTAGCCATGATTAATAAGTATAATTGCACTAATATATGTATGCTTTGACTTGTAATTAAGAAGGACTTAGAAATTAATCCTCTAATTCTCTACTTAACCATGCTAATGCCATAGAAAGGAGTACTCTAAGTGATCAATGATTAGTTATCATGTACCATTTATATATACATTTACCTCTTGACTTACCCCTGTTGTGAGTAGAATATTGGTTATGGTTTATTTCTCCATCAATAGCATAAGTTATCAATACATGTCCTTGCCAGACCTTCCCTGTGGTAAAAATATAAATAACGATACCTGAAATACTCTCGGGTGAAGTGCTACAATGGTATATTATATGTGCGCTTGAAGATCCCTTTCATTCATATACATATATATTCTTCCTAGTCACATAAAATAATAAAGAACTACTTAGTATTATTCTAGTAATATTGCTAAGTAGTACCAACAAGCATCTCCGGCATCATCACTAGGGATGACAACCTGGTAAAGTAATGTTAAAAGATATAGGCATATATTAGGTGGCTACTAAAACAAGTGATAAGTTAATAAATACCAACAAGCATTTCTGGCGCCGTTGCCAGGGAAGGTAGCTAGACAAAGGAATATTGATAAACTTATACTTATTGATGTGATCGAGATAAACCATTGACCTCTGTTCAAATAGGCTTACCCTTGTTTTGTCTACTTTTATATCTTATGCAGGGTAATGTATGACCGGTTTTGACCTTCCGACAAACTACGTTGAAGATCTAGAAGCATTAATCAGGAGAACTAGAGCCAAACTCAAAAAAGTCTCAGCTTTAGAGTCGGAAGACAACCAAATAAGGCGAAGCTTAACACCAGAATTTGAAGCCATGGTTAACAAGACTCTCTGCAAATTCTCTGCTCCAACTACAACCAACATCCGTACTAGACCAACAGTCGATATTGGAGATAATAGATTTGAGCTCAAACCAGCTCTCATCAATATGGTCCAAACAAGCCAGTTTTGTGGAAAGGCACATGAAGATGCGAGTGCCCATCTCCAATATTTTCTGGAGATCTACAACACTTTTACCATCAAAGGAGTGACCAAAGATGACATACTACTTTGCCTCTTCCCATTCTCACTCTTGGGGAAGACGAAGCAATGGTTCTATGCCAACAAAGATAGAAACACTACATGGGATAACTGTTCCACTGCCTTCCTAGCCAAGTTTTTTCCCACAGGCAATGCTCTACGTGGGAGAATTTTAAGGTTTCAACAGCAACATGATGAATCTGTCCCTGAGGCATGGGAATGCTTTCAAGACTACATAGCATAATGTCCTCATCATGGGATGAAGAATTGACTACTCATGCAGACTTTCTACCTTGGGTTAACCAACAATACCCGTGAGACTATGAATGCTACTGTTGAAGGTGCATTCCTGTCACTCACTATACCAGCTGCAACAGCTCTTGTGGAGAAGATGGCCTCCAACCAAGGTTGGAATAAAGAACATCTTCAGACCCACATGAGAGGTGGAGGTATGCATCAACTCAAGAAGGTAGACATGCTGTCTGCCAAGATGGACCTGCTAATGAAGAAACTCAAAGATAGAGCTAATGAGAAGCAAAAAGTCATGCACATTCGTAATTCCCGTATGACATGTGAAGAATGTGGAAACACTGGGCCTCCATGGAGCAACTGTCCTTAAACCCATGAGGATGTGAACTTCGTCAATAATAACTACTTTCGTCCTTAACAAAATTAAGGATGGAATCAGCAAGCAACAGAGGCCAAACTACCAAGGTAACCCTAAAGGTAATAATTTCAATCAATCACCCTTGAGAGAGTTGATTTCTGGTCAAGCTAAAACAATAGAGGGCTTATCTAGAAAACTAGCTTCCAATGATAGAGTTTTAGAAAATATAAATAATAGAATGGATAACCTCTCCTCTGCCATTAAGAACCAACATAGCTTTAATAAAATAATAGAATCACAAATAGCTCAGCTGGTTGCCGCAGTTCCTCCGATCGACAAAGGTAAGATTCCAGGGCAACCGGAGGATCTAGAAACTACCAATCTTGTTGATATTCACAATGCAGCATACTACTGTATACAACCGTCGACGGGAAGGTGGATAGACTATACCTTGCCTGAAAAGAAAGGTGATCCGGGAAGACCTGTCATCCCCATAGCTATTAGAGCGCACATATTCCAAGAAGTTGTCTATGACTTCGGAGCAAATGTCAACATTATGCCAAAGGTAATCTAAGATAAAATTAATGGAGATACTTTATTGTACATAAATATATGTTTTCAGCTTGTAGATTAGTCACTCTGTTACCCCAAGGAAGTTCTTGAAGACACCTTTGTTTGAGTGGGACAATCCTATGTTCTTATAGACTTTGTGGTTTTGGAAACAGGTGGAGATGCAAAGGCACCGATTATCTTGGGCCGACCTTTACTAAGCACTGCGAAAGCCATTATCTACGCGAACAGTGCCAAGATCTGCTTTACAATCAAGGATAAAAAGGAGTTTTCTTTCAAGAATCGTATCTTGTAATCTCCTGGACATCCATAGATGCCGTACCTGCCCAAAGAGGCAACAGTGAACAAGAAGAAGAACAATCGGAGAAGAAGGGAGAACAAAGTCAGGCAATCACCAAAAGAATCAGTCAACATGATAAACACACTCCGATCAAAGTACAACCACCTCCTCGCTTCACCATATCTTACCAAGAAGGATGATCCAGGCGTATCCACGATCCGGTGTATCATTGGACAAAGAATATTCCATAAGACCTTCTACGATATTAGATCGGGTGTTAATATAATGTCCAAGGTAACGTATGAATACTTATTTGGTAACAAACCTTTGTTCCCTACATATATGTAATTGCAGATGACAGATCAATCAATCCAATTTCTGGAGGGAATAGCGAAAGATGTCATGGTAAGAATACATGATCACTATGCCCCTACCAACTTCATGGTTTTGGACATGGGAGAAGAAGAAGAAGAAACATCCATCATCCTTGGAAGACCATTCCTCAACACTACCAATGCAATCATCTACGTCAGATCTGGACAAGTCCACTTTCAATTCCCTGGAGAAAAGGTACAATGCTATTTCAATAGTTATACCACTTATGAGCAGCCCAAGAAGTCCTACTCTAGGAGGAGATGTTGATCATCCC